AATGGAATAGAATAGAGAACCCAAAAATGGACCTACAACTCTATGGTCAACTAATCTTCAACAAAGCAGGAAAGAACATCCAATGGAAAAAAGACAGTCTCTTCAACAAATGAATAGCTACATGCAGAAGAATGAAACTGGGTCACTTCCTTACAGCATACACAAAAATAAATTCAAAATGGATGAAAGACCTAAATGTGAGACAGAACAGAGGCAGAGACCTCTTTGACCTCAGCTGTAACAACTTCTTATTAGACGTGTAGCTGGAGGCAAAGGAAACAAAAGCCAAAATGAATTACTGGGACCTCATCAAGATAAAAAGCTTCTGCACAACAAAGGAAACCATCAACAAAGCTAGAGGCAGACTATGGGATGGGAGAAGATATTTGCAAATGACATACCTGATAAAGGATAAATCTAAAGAATTTACCAAACTCAATACCCAAAAACAAATAATCCAATTAAGAAATGGGCAGAAGACATAATAGACACTTTTCCAAAGAAGACATCCAGATGGTAACAGACACATGCAAAGATGTTCAACATCACTCATCATCAGGGAAATACAAGTCAAAACCACAATGAGATACCACCTCACACCTGTCAGAATGGCTAAAATTAACAACACAAGAAACAACAGGTGTTGGCAAGGATGTGGAGAAAGGGGGACACTCTTGCACTGTTGGTGGGAATGCAAACTGCTGCAGCCACTCTGGAAAACGGTATGGAGGTTCCTCAAAAATTTAAAAACAGAACCACCCAATATCCTAGCAATTACCCTACTAGGTATTTACCCAAAGGATACAAAAATACAGATTTGAAGTGGTACATGCTCCCTGATGTTTAAAACAGTATTATCAACGCTAGCCAAACTAATGTCCATTGACTGATGAATGGATAAAGAAATTGTGGTATATATACAAAATGGAATATTTTTCAGCCATCAAAAAGAATGAAATCTTGCCATTTGTCTTGATGTGGATAGAGCTATAATGTATTATGCTAAGTGAAATAAATTAGCCAGAGAAAGACAAACACCATATGGTCTCACTCATATGTGGAATTTAAGAAAGAAAAGAGATGAACATACGGGAAGGGGGAAAAGTAAAAACAGAGAGAGTGAAACAAACCATAAGTGACTCTTAACAACAGAAAACAAACTGAGGGTTGATGGGGAGAGGTGCAGGAGGGATAGGCTAGATGGGTGATGGGTATTAAAGAGGGCACTTGCTGTGATGAGCACTGGGTGTTGTATGTAAGTGATGAATCATTAAATTCTACTCTAGAAACCAATATTGCACTGTATGTTAACTAACAAAATTTAAATAACTCAAAAAATAAAAACAGTTCCTTAAATTTGAAAAGAAAAAAGAAAGAAAGACCATAGACTGAGATCTACAATTAATCTCTAGAGAGGTGGATAATGGATTAGAGTCCCCTCAGGACCAAAGCAAGGACAACAAAAGCCCACACAGGCTAAAGGCAACCTGTTGTAGATTTGGGACATACTTGAGAAAATAGAGAAATGTTCAATGATACACATCAAAAATCAGCAGTGAAGAAAAATTTCCCTTTGGTCTCCTGCTCTCACCCCCAGAAAAGGGCACTGGGCTTACCTTTCTGGCCCCCTTCCATATCTCTTCTTAGTTCCTCACATCATGTGAGAAAATTTGCCTCTGATTCAGTGGGATAAGTTCTCACATTGTGTCTGAAAGTCCCTTTGACAATATAACATCTAATATCCCTGCCTTTAGTCTTGGAGAGATAAGAGCTTTTCTACTGCATACCGTCTGAATGTTACATTTCATACTAGCATTAGAGAACTTTTTCAAATTAAATCTCGCTTATAGCCTAGCTGAATAGTGACACTATAAATGTAAACCAAGTGAGGAGAAAAAGCTTTCAAGGGAAAAAGTCATCAGTAGTAAATTTCTTAGATGGCTGGGGTCTAGAGGCAGACTGTGGAAATCATTAGGCACTCTGCTAAGGGGAGGGCCACTCACTGGACATTGGAGAGATCTGTTTTGACGGGGATATAATGAACCCACGGCTTCAGTTGTGGATAGAAGAATTCGAGCCACTCATCACCCACGTGGAAAACAAGTGAGCCACACAGGAAGAGGTGTTTGAACCGGAAACTTGCAGCTACACCTCGAAAATTAAACAGATACCTGGGAATGAAAGAGCAAGATATACTTGATCCTACATGTCTGCTGCCACAAATATGATCTTTTTCTTATTCCCTCTTCCCCTTCTCGCCTTTTATGACCCCTCTTCCCTCCCTTTCTAGTTCCAGTTTTCCAGGACACATCCACATATCCCTGTGGGTTTCCTGGGGCTACTGGCTGTTCTAGGGAATGACAGGGAGAGGGAGAAAGGAGGACTCTTTCTCCAACAGAGCTAGATAGGGCCACAAGCTGGGAGCCAGACAGAGACACAAGCCTCAGATGGAGATAGTACCTTACGCTTTCCTACAAGCTTTCCTGGGCCTAATGTCTCTAACGAGTCATGGCTCCCCCAAACCTTGTTTTTCCCATATGGTACTCCACCAAAAGCCTCCATTGTTCCCTGTTCCCTCTTTTTCTGAAGTCTGGAGAAGACAATCAGGCATACATAACCAATCTTCAAAGAAATACCCTCTGGGAAAAAGCTAACTGAGATTTTCTTTTCAACATTTCTTATGCACCCCTGTCCCCAACTAGAGTTGCTTCTACTCTATACTTCTTACTCGGCAGTGTAATTAGCATTTACCTCTCTGAATCCCCCTACTTCCTCCTGACCTGGTTTTACCTGTTCACCTAATCCTTAGTCCTGGCATTGAATTATAATATTTCAGTTACATATGCTTTATTCATTTTGAAATGTAAACCCTTCTTAGCCTGATAAATACTTCATCTAATTTCAGCTCTCGCTTGGATGGGGTGTGGAGAGAGGGAGTCCCACCACTTTACTTACTAGCAGCAAGGTCTATGGAGGCAGGGACCATAATCATCATTGTCTCCACGGTTCTCACAGAACCCAGCAGACAGCCTTGTGCACATGGCATGGTCTCAGTAAACAACAACCAAATGAATGAACGGGACTTTCATAAACCCCAGCTGGGCCCGAGTATTGAAGTTGTCCCCCAAAATGAAGCTATTCCAAATGCAACAGGGAAGCCAAGAGTCAGGAGTCCCGGAAGTCTTACTTGTATTTGCAGTGATCCACAAGATGGACATCCTTAGCAGCTGGCTTCCCCAAGGTATCCTTTAAATAAAAAAGAAGTGATTAGTATTGAGAGTGGTAGTATTTATTGAAGACCACAGCGCAGCAAGCACTGTTGAGCATTCCATCAACATGACCTCATTTCAGTGTCCTGAATAAACATGTTCAGAAATGTTATTATCTTATTTTATAGCTTTAGAAGCCTTGAAAAGTTGGGAGACTTGCTTAGGAGCACGTGGGCCTAAGGAGAAGAACAAGGGTTTTAACCCAGGGCCTGTCTGATTTTAGAGTTTAAGCTCCAAGGGCCACGTGGATCCTTCTCTGAACTTAGAGGTCTTCACCTACAGCATGTTTGATGTTGTGTAAATTATACATAGAGGACGTTACAGGTGGTGGCTAGCAGGCTTGGAGGTGTAACCCACACACAGATTTCATTGGGGATGCAAAGTATTTAAAAATAAAAATTCAAACCATTGCCAAGCTATTTCTTACAAAAATCCAGATTTCCAGGTTTCCTTATTAAAAAAAAAAGGAAGATCTGCTAAACTGGGCTCCCATTCCCTTGGCAGCAATGACTGGACCTTTAGTGCTCTCTCCTGCTTACTCCTGTGGTCCCAGGGGCATTTGCGTTTGAGACCCCCATCTATATTCCAGATATCCTGCCAGATGGTAAACGTCTTAATGAAAGAAATAAGTCTGGTTTGCTTTTTCAGGTTCCCACAGTAGAGGCTGAGCTGAACGGATACCTTTTTCATATTCTTATATGAATATGAAACATAGGTTCTTAAACTTTGGTCCTGTTTGATTAACACTATCAAATAATACATCTCAGATATGCTTAGTTGTCCCACAAGAAGTTTAAAACTGTTTTCTTATCATCCTCATGTGGTACATGGAAATTTCCAATGAGGACATTTAGGATTTAAAGTTCTTTCAACAAGGCAAGAAGTCATAGATTTGAAAGGACAGAGATAAACTCCAACCTGACTGTCTCCACCTTACAATTCACCTCCCTGAATCCCCCCACTTCCTCCTCCCAACCTGATTTTACCTGTTCACCTAATCCTTAGTCCTGGCATTGAATTATAATATTTCAATTACATACACTTTATTAATTTTGAAATGTAAATGCTTATTTTTAAACAAATGAAGATGCCTGGACCCCATCCCAGAGACCTCTCTGATTGGATTGTACCGTCAGAGTTGAGAACCACTGGTTTAAACCAGGGGTTGGCAAATTACAGCCCACAGGCCAAATCTGGACCACTGCTTATTTTTGTATACAACCCCTAAACTAAGGTTATTTTACATTTCAAATGCTTGAAAAATATCCAAAGAATATTCATGACATGTAGAAATTACATGAAATTCAAATTTCTGTGCCATAAATAAAGTTTTATTGGAACACAGCCAGGCTCATTAATTTATATATTGTTTCTGACTACCTTCACCTGTGATGGCTGAGTTAAGAAACTACAACAAGCCCATTCAATCCACAAAGCCTAAACTATTCACCATTTGGCCCTTTACATAAAAAGTTGGTGTCCTCTGGTTTACACCTTCAAAGTGGTAAAAAACAAAACAAAACACTACTCATAATATGGCCCAGAAAAGCAATGTGAGTTTGAAAAAATAATATTTACATATATGGTAATACTGGTTTGTGGAACTTTCTCTACATTCATCTACCACTGAAAGGAAACCTAATCTGGAATTCTACCCAGGTGGCAATGTTCTTTGAATGAGAATGTTCACTGCTCTGGTTCTATTGAGATGACTGGTGATTACTTTCATAGATTTCCAGGCCTGGTTTTTGGTATATTCTGCGTCAACAAGCTTTGGATTTTTCCGAGATAGAAGAATGAGAGGATCTCGTTCTGGACTTGTCCTGTAAAAAGAAACACGTGACATAAAACAATGTGTCCCACACTGGAATACTCTTCCCAATCTCTGAAAGGTAAGCAATGCAATTACCATACACAGAGATGGATAACTTATTGGTTATTTTAACAGCAGAGGAGGGGGTTACTGGGCCCTATGGCATATAGGTGTTCCTGGCTATTCTCTACTTTACCCTTCAGGGACAGGGAATATTGGGCCCTTTTTTGCTTGCATCTAATCTTTAAGATTATGTTGTTCTGGGCACTACAGACATATCCCAGGGAATGAGTTTCCTTTTAGCAGGGTTCATGAAACCTCTATAATCATTAGTATGCACAGCTCTGTGACTAGCGTGATCACCCCTCCCCCAAATAGCTACATGACTTTTGTTGTCTGTGTTCTGTACGGTCCAACACAATATTTAAATTAAAAAGAAAACTGAAGGGCTTAAAAACCTGAAGATTATACGTAGAAAAAGGCCTAGTTATGATGCAAGTAGCAGATGGTCTTGACATTTGATGGGTCCTAGAGTCCCTGTGGACCACTCTAGAAAAGTGTCCATATCCCCATATAATTTATAGGCAGTCCTGGAACTGTTCAAGTCCACATACAGTACCAAGTTAAGAAGCTGTGATCTCAAGATCTGAGAATCAGAGAAGTTGATAAGGACCAGTAAACAGTGGCTGCTGGGCCCGTCTGCATTCTCAAGTTCACTGCCCAAGTAAATAGAAGGTGTGATCTCCAAGAAAGACTGACCAGGAAAACAACAAAACCCTTCTCCCTGTTGTGTTCATGTGTACAGGAGAGATTCATCATGTATCTGCATGCTAGGTACTGTTCTTGGCACTGGAGATGCAGGTAGAGAGGGTGCTTGCCCAACATTTCTCTCTCCCTTCTCCTCCCTTTCTTCCCTGCTTCTGTTTCCATTTCCACCAGTCTCAGTCTGTGCTTTCCATCACTATTTAGCAGCCCATGGCCTCATGAGAAAGATAGTCAGGAGAACTGGTGACTGTTCCTGCTCTGCCATTACCTAGCAAAGTGACTAGCAGAGGGCCAGGTCAGAAGCTCCCTATAGAAAATTATAATCTCTGAGGCAAGAGGACAACTCAGCTGTTCTCTTCAGCATGTACTTGATGCCCAACACACTCAGGGCACTCTGTTAATACCTGTTGAATGACTAGATGAATGAACTTTACTTCTTTCAATTTCAGTTCAATTAAGAGTGACTTAGGCAAGAGGCACTTGGGCGGCTCAGTCAGTTAAGCATCTGACTCTTGATTTGGGCTCAGGTTAGGATCTCAGGGTTGTGAGATCAAGTCCTGAGTCAGGCTCCTTGCTGGGCATGGAGACTTAAGATTCTCTTCCTCTCCCTCTGCCTACCCTCTTCCCCGCTGGAATGCATGTGCGCTCTCTCTTAAAAAAAAAAAAAAGTGATTTGGGCAAATAATTGGAGTTCTTCTCTCGTCTAAAATTCTATGATTCCACATTTACCTCTTAGCTATCCTAGCTTTCTCCTTGAACTACAGTTCTTCACATCCTCAAAATTACTTGTATCTTACAAATATCTTTGTAAAATATCAGAAAATATAGTCACCTTGATCCTCGGAAATATGCTGTAGAATTTTTCTTTTTCCATGGCCACTGTGCTGCTGACCTAAAATTAGATTTCAATTAGTTTCTGTTTTTCTCTTAACTATATGAGGATGTGTTTTAACCATTCCTGAAGATTAGTTCAGAACTTTACATTTTCAATTAAGTCTGACCTAGGCTCTCAAAAGAAAAAGCCCTCAGTGACAGTTTATTACCCTTTGTTGTTACTTCACTCCTTTGGAGATGCTAGCCAATAATATCTACAATCCATACCTCCATTAATAAATTAACAACACTGAAAGAGAAGTTCTCAGGGCACCTGGGTAGCTCAGTCATTTAAGAATCTCTTGATTTCAGCTCAGGTCATGATCTCAGAGTCCTAAGACTGAGACTCACATCAGGCTCCACACTCAGTGGGAAGTTGGCTTGAGATTCTCACTCTCCCTCTGCCCCACCCCCGCTCAGGCACCTGCACATGCACTCTCCCTCTAAATCAACAAAATCTAAACCGCCCCCGCCAAACTCCTAAGTTCTAAATGACATGTTTAGGGCTGTTAAATCCTACATTACAATGAGGATTTCTTCTCTACTTTAACTAGAGTGCTGCTATTGATAAATTTAACAGGCAAAGAGAATTGCAGAAAATATCAGAAACTGAATTAAAGGCAAGAAAGCAAATCACTCCTGGACTTCAGTTTTTGGAGGACACGCAGTATCACTAGAAATCTGCCTGATGTTCCAAAGTGTTCCATCGAGCACTGTACGAAGTGCTCCATCGAAGTCCCTGAAACTCAGTCTCAGTACACATTACCGTGACCAGCTTTCCTGGCTGAAACTGCTAGCTCACGGATGCATCATTCTTAACTTCCTTCGTAGGGACCCTGCACAGAAGTTGCCCAGTGTCTTCCTTGAAAAAGGAGGGGAAGGGCTGAACTGGAGTTAATGAGGGATTGGTGTGCTACTTACCGTAACAGAGAGACTCAGGATATAAACTTGTTAGGTAGAGATATTTTTAGATACATAAATGTCACATTACTCATTTTCTCTCAGCTGAGAGCATTGCTCATTTTCCTGGCCTATCTTATAGCTCTTTCTTGCTGGACCATCCTTACCCAGTTCTCCATGCCAAGGCCAGAACGATCTATTGCTGTGCTTCATATGCCCTACCCCCACAACAGAAACACCATAACTCTGGGTTATTTTTGTTTTGTGAGATTTTTTTTTTAGGGGAAAAAATGATATATCCTCATTATAGAAAATTCTAATGGAAAAGCATAAAGTAAAAGTGAAAAAAAATCATCTTGAATCTTCCCAATCCCACTTTTAGCAATTTAACGTTTTCAAAAAGAATTTCCTTCCTGGGGCACCTGGGTGGCTCAGTCATTAAGTGTCTGCCTTCAGCTCAGGTCACAATCCCAGGGTTTTGGGATTGAGCCCCGCATCAGGCTCCTTGCTCGGTGGGAAGCCTGCTTCTCCCTCTTCCACTCCCCCTACTTGTATTCCCTCTCTCGCTGTCTCTTTTTCTGTCAAATAATTAAATAAAATCTTAAAAAAAAAAAAAAAAAGAATTTCCTTCCAGTCATTTCTCTATATCAGCAGTTCTCAACTGTTGGTGATTTTGCGCCTTTCTCCCAGAAGACATTTGGCCACAACCACAGACATTTTGATTGTCACTACTGGGGGACTGCTACTGGCACTCGGTAGACCAAGGATGCTAAACACCCTGCAGTGCACAGGGAAGCCCCCTGCAACAAAGAATGATCCAACTCCAATTTCTCAAACCAATACTGAGAAACCTTGCTCTACATAACAGAGATCCTATATATACATATATATGCTCATTCTCACAACCTCTTGAGGTGGGTTTTATTATCCATATTTTACAGTTGAGGTTCTTGAAAGGCTAGAGTCACACAGCTCATAAGAGCCAGAGTTTGAACCCAGAGTCCCTTTACTTCACACTCATACACAATATTCCATTTTACACCCATGTCATAATTCACTTCATTACTTATTCATGGGCTTTTAAGAAGTTTCCAACCTTCTGCTTTAAGAAACAACACTGTAGTGACAATCTTCGTGTACATATCTTTACATACTTGTCTAATTAACTCTTTGGGATAAATTCTAGAAGTGAAATGGCTGGGTCAAAGACATGAACATTTTATATTTCGATATATGTTGCCAAACTACCTAACAAAAAAGTATCAATTTACACTGAAATTTTGAGTATAAATGTCCTTAGTCCCTGGGAAAGCTGCATTTAATACACACAGACTTTGTGCCATTTCTGTTTTCTCTCTCCATCATTCTTTCTACCCACTTACCTACCCCTCAAAAGACCTATGTTGGGACTTTTTTCCCTAGGCAAGTGTTAAAAGTGACACCCTGGTGCTGACTCAGACCTCTTTTACTACCACCCTGTGACAGTACAGACAGAAATCTTTAACTCTACAGAAACACTGAACTCTTCTACAGAGTGAAAAGTAAGTCAGTGGGGACAAACTCCCCAAAGACTAGAAAAATAGAAAAATAGCAGGCAGGCATCAATGTAGATAAACTAGCAGATTATTAAAGTTTCACATTAAGAAATGAAATCACATTTCACAGAGCTTCTGAATGGAAGGCTTTAAAAAATAAAATTGTAATTCTGTGATCATACTTTTTAAAAAGATTTTATTTATTTGAGAGAGAGAGCATGGGAGAGGGGAGGGAAGGGCAGAAGGAGAGGGAGAAGCAGACTCTCCACTGAGCAGGGGGCCTGATTCAGGGCTTGATCTGGGGACCCTGAGATCATGACCTGAGCTGAAGGCAGATGCTTAACGCACTGAGCCACCCAGACACTCCATAAATAAATTCAACTGAAGAAAAGAGGGGAAGATACCAAAAAAGAAAAGTATGTTCTTATAAGATTAGATTTTAAAACATAATCTATCTCCCTAAAAACTTCTTAGTAGTTTACAAGGTAGGGGTAGGGCACAGCAACTACACAGTGGAGGAATTGGCAACACCTTGATCAGGTGATCAAAATTAACATCTCCAAAGAGGCGTGGATGGACACAAATCACTTAGGTAAGTAATCAGGCCGGGGTGCAGGAGCTGAATCTAATCGTGAGGAAACAGACAAAACCAAACTGAAGAACATTCTATAAAATGTATAGCCTGCATTCTTCAAAATGTGAATGTTATGAAGGAGAAAGACAGACTGAGGAGCTGTTCAAGATCACAGGAGACTAAATAGACGTGACCACTAAACGCAACACTCGAGCCTGGATTGTATCCTGTGCTGGAGGCAAAATGAGCCATATCAGATACTACTGGCATAATTAAATGTTGTACCAATATTGTTTCCTGAATTTGATCATTGCAGCGTGGTTATAAAAGAGAATATTCTCGCTCTTAGGAAATGCACACTAACATATTAAGATGTACAGGGTCATAAGGTGTACAACATACTCTCAAATAGTCCAGAAAAGAACAAATTGTACATGTATTACATATGTAGCCTAAAAGTCTATCATAGAAAATAATGAGGTAAATTATTATCCACACAATGGAATATCATGCAACTGATAAAAATAATGAGGTTGTTTCATACGTACTAACATGGAAAGATTTCTAAGCCACACTGACTAGTTGGTGGGAAAGTTGCCAATGTCAGACATACATGTTTACAACCATGTATAGGTTTCATATCAGAAAAAAGCTTGTTTTTAAAGAATTAAGAAACAAAGTAGAGAGCGCCTGTCTGGCTCAGTTGGAAAGATCAGCATTCAAACTCAGATGATCTGTTTCAAGAGCCGTGAGTCTGACTCTTGATCCTGGATCAAGTCATGATCTCAGGGTTGTGAGACTGAGCACCTTGTCAGGCTCTACACTCAGCACAAAGCCTGCTTAAGAGTCTCTCCCCCTCCTTCTGCCCCCCCCTCCCCAAGCTCACACTCTCTCACTCTCTCTTATTAAAAAAAAAAAGAAAAAAGTAGATGTATAGCGGGTCAAAAAAGAAGAACGTGAAGAATCTGAAAAAAAAAAGTATTAGATAATTAAGACCAAGAATAACTTAAAGAAAAACTGGTTAAAGGCCTTATTATTTTTCCCTTTCAAAATTTGTCATCCAAAACCAGAATCTACATAGGAAATGATGGCCTCAATGTCTGGAGAGCATGGGTAAGATTAACTGGTAGTGCAGACACCTGGACTTCAGGCCTAGATTGGACACCTAGATAAGGACACCTGACCTTAACCAAGCTACTCAATCTCTCTGGGTCTTCCTTCCCTCATCTCTGAAATAAAGAGTTGAAAAGGACAATTTCCAGTTCTAGTTCTATGAAGTATGAGACCACAGTATCTTAAAAAATAATTTTGAGGGCTCCTGGGTGGCTCGGTCAATTAAGCATCTGATTCAGGCTCAGGTCATGATCTCAGGTTCTGGGATCAAGGCCCCACAATGAGCTCCATGCTCAGAGGGGAGGCTGCTTGTCCCTTTTCCTCTCCCTTTGCCCCTCTCCCCCAGCTCGTGTGTGTGCATGAGTACACGCACTCTGTCAAATAAATAAATAAAATCTTAAAAAAATTAATTTTCAAAATACATCTACTGAATAACAGACTCATTTTTTTACCTGGTGGCTCTATTTGCCACTGAAGACTGCAGCCCTACCTGTTTCTCAGGACTCCAGCCTCACCTTTGA